GCCATCAAATGGGCAGTTTGAGTTTGAGTTTGACACGTATGGTCTAGATAAAGTATTTGTCTTTTTTCTCAGTACTTAGGTTTCTGCAGTCACCCAATCAGAAAGAGGTGATTAGGACAACATCATTCAGGTGTGTGTGTGTTTACGTGTGTGTGTGTGTGTGTTTGTTCAGGAGCTGCTACTGGGTCCATATTTCAAGGATCAGGCAGAACAAGAGAAGTCCAGGCTGATAATGGAGGTTAGAAAACAGCTGAGCTGGGAGGAAGAGAGAAGTGGAGCAGCTCTGAAGAAACTACAGGACTGGTATTGAAAGAACACACATATATACACGTACAATAAACTGTTGCAAAGTTACTTGTGTAAATGAAGATCACAGAATGCTGTCCTAGTCCTTGCCAGAAGGGGCAGCTCAGCCTCATTAAAACATTATATATTGTTCAAATATTTGATATTCCCATTTTTTTCACACATTCAATTCTTTTTATGTGATTTAATTCTAATACCTTTCAGGTACTATAGCCAAAAAAAAAACAATGACAAAGAAGCACAATATCATTTATTTTCAAATGTAAATATTGTACAATTTAAAATGAAAAACATATATTTGGTTTGCATATAGCTCAATGTTTTTTTCTGTTGCAGGTTCTTTGCCTCTCTGGAAACCAACATAGTCACTGTAGTGGCCATCTCCAGCGACCACAGAGTATCCACCTACCTCCAGCAACCAACCACTGAGTTCCCGACTCAACACCAACACATAAACACCATCAACCAACCTGACGGAGACTGTAATGCTGCATCGGAGAGGAGGAACCACGGAGCGTGGCCTGTAGAAGACAGTGACAAAAAGAGAGGTACAGCCAGAAATGCTTTCATTGTTGTGTTGAAAACAACATGTTGATGCAGCCTCTGTGTGCTTTCTGCAAAAGACGAGGAGGTGGAGGTGCTGCGTCCACAGGTGCCACCATCAGCAGGTGTAAGGCTGGGAGTCCGACAGGAGGAGAAGCTGAGGAGAGCTGCGGAGAAGGCAGAACAAGCGCGAGCCAAAATAGAGAAGAGGAAAAAAGAATGGGCCAAACTGTGAGTCGCTTAGAACCAGTGTCCGATCTCGGATGAGAGGCGGAAGGTCTTCTAGAAACTAAGCTGAACTGCTCCACTCGAGCAAGGAATTTTCAAACATGTGAGAAAATAGCTTTGAAATTGAAACTCTCCATATTTTATTTGTAAAATGGATCAGTTTAAGATGCATTTTAAAATTATGTATACACATATATGTGCCCTCGGAGGACCGCATAGAGGAGGCGAATGATCGGGCAGCCAGACTGAGATCAAGACAGTGAGTCAGTCTATGACTGACAGTCTGACTGACACAACAGTCAGATGGATTGTTCAGGACTGTAGACTGATTAATATTGTTGAGGTCAATGACTGGTTAGACTATGGACAAAGGTTAGAAAGAAACTTAGGGGCAGTGGTGGCTTAGTGGTTAAGGAAGCGGACTTGGCTCTGAAAGGCTTCAGGTTCTAGTCTACCAGCTGCCAAGTTACCACTGAGGTGCCCTGAGCATGGCACCATTCCTACACACTGCTCCCTGGGTGCTTAAAGCTGCCCCCTGTTGACTTTGGTGGTGGGTTATAAGCAGCGGTAACATCTGTTGTGTGCAGTGGTGTGCTGTGTCACAATGACAAGGAGTTCACTTTGAAACTCTGCACGTGTTCATTTCATTTTTCACTGAGACTGTTGGAGATTTGTATGGATATTTTTACAGATTAATAGTCCCATCATTTCCATCAGCTACGCAGTGATTAGTCTTATTTAAACATTTAATTGATTGTCAGTTCTAAGAATAACACATATAAACTTTTAGACAGTTCTGACTGATGAAAAATCACAATGAGAACAAAATCAAGTTAAATCAAGGATAATTATTAAACCATGACTTTGCTGTACAGAGTGGAGAGGTCGGGTGAGGTCATAGGGTCAGGACTCATACATAAACATCATCATAAGACAAAACTGACCTTGAGACCAACTTATTCAATGCTAAGTTGATGGCAATCGCTGAGTTAATTCCTGGTCGGTGTCTCAGTCACGCAGAGAAACCAGATGAGAACCATGAGGATCCTCGGGCCGCACAGCTCATCCGTGAAGCCAGAGAGAACATCGGAGACTTAAAACTAAGGACAGAGACAGACCAAGCTGTGCCAGAACATCTAAGGATGAATCCAGAGAAGAAGAGAGTGGAGATCATGGGTCTGGAGATCAGTGTAAAGAACCACAAACACACCAGTCTGTGTACGTTTTATTGGATACATCATCACCTCAGGTTTGTTCCTTGGTTCCTCTCTGTCCTATCCACTCAGATTCGAGAACAACAAACCCAGATGAACAGTCGCATCATGGCGTTGAGGGACTCCAAGCTCGACCTGGTTTCTCGGTTGCAGTCGCAGGTCCAACAGTTGCACAAAGTCCAGCAGCGTCTGCCAACTCATCTCCACCGTCCGCCTCCTGTCCTGCCCACAATACAACCAGAGGAAACCCCAGAGAGGAGGCTACAGTACGATGACAGCAGACTGGATCAATACCGCGCCCTGAGAGAACAAAGGTAGATCAAGACATGAAAGACTTGTGTAGAAACAAGTTATTGTATCTGTGTTTCTGTTCTTCTAGCAGATCCAGGGTCATGGGGCAGGAGGAGGACGAGGAGCAAACCACATATTTATTGGAGCTGCTGGAAAAGGAAATTCAGGAAAAAGGAGATCAGAAGATACAACAGGAAGTGACTCATCCAATGATTTCACCAGAGGAAGGAACAGACGAGGAGGAGGTGGAGCTGAGCGATCTGGAGAAGGAGCTTCTACGAGAGGAGGAAATCAGACTGTTGTACGAGCAGGACTACCTGCTGGAGCAGGTCTCTGAGTTTAAGGACATTGTATTGACTTTTGTTAAATGTTGTTGGCTTTTTACAACATTTTAAATAGTTGTTAAAGTACAGTATGTAAAGTACAGGAAGATTAAACAATCATGGCTTTATCCTTCAGTTTTAGGTTTTCCTCCAATCGTAATTTAAGACACAAAGTCCAAAATACCACGATTAGTATTGACTTTTGTTAAATGTTGTTGGCATTTTATGACATTTTAAATAGTTGTTAAAGTAGAGTATGTGAAGTACAGGAAGATTAAACAATCCTGGCTTTATCCTTCAGTCTTAGGTTTTCCTCCAGTCGTAATTAAAGCATGAATTTAAGACAAGTCCAAAATACCACGATTAAAAATGTGTGATCGTTATTGTTGTTAACAATAATAATAACAGTATCAATAATAAGAGTGATAATGATCTGAAAATATTTTTATGCTGTGATCTAAAGTTGGATCATCTGGTCTTAAATTCTCAGATAAATATTTCGATGTATCAGTTCGACGCTGAACTTCTGCTGCTGCGTCATCAGAAGCTTCATCTGGACTGGGAACTGAAAATGGCCGACCTCCGTCGCCTGACGCTCTGCCAGGAGCTGCTACTCCTCATGGAGTTTGCGAAGAGGGAGGTCGGCCTGCAGGAGGCGCTGGACAAATTTGTCAGGGAGGAGAATGGGATCACGGTCTGTATTTGTTTAGTTTTATTTCCATGTTTTACTTCAAGCCACATAAACATGGATGTGATGAGGCAGACTTTCATGAAGACGTTTCTGTCCTGACAAAGTCCCGGCTGGATAACTGCAGTCAGCAGCTGCAGCAGAAGCACAGAGACATGTCCAAGCTGCAGGAGCAGGAAAAGGCAGTGGTTGCTGCCTTCCAGGAGTCACTGGGGCAGAACAACAAGTTTGAAGCCTTTCTCACCGGAGTCTTTAAGAGAAATGTCAAATATGTGAAGACGCAGGAGCCAAGTGAAGGTGAGAGGAAGTAACTTCCAAACGAACACACAGTAGGCTGTCACCCACAGTATGGACAACATGATTTAATTTGTGAGCCTCAGGACTTTATAGTCAATGTTATGGATATTTTATTATATTTTAAATTATCATCATCCTTTAGCCTGATTTGTTTACACTTTTATCTATTTTGTAAGCAATACCTCAACGAAGTAGTATTAGACTTTTGTTTTTTCACCACCAGTTATATCCTAATATTTGTAGCCACATTTCAGCTAACAGTAATTTAGTGTTTGGTTATAGAACTGTTGTGTTTTTAAATATGAAACACTGTGCCCTGTCCTGTGTGTACACAGGTGAAGAAATGGACAGTGATGAAGACTCTGATGCTGTTGATGATGACAGTGACTCGGGAGAAAACGCAGTCCAAGGTAAACCAGACATTTCAAAACTTAAAACTGCTGAAGTAACAGTCATAACTGTGTCTCTGTGTGTGTGTGTGTGTGTCAGGCTGTGACCCTCAGTTGTACGAAAACACGTTGCAGCTGAGGGAGCGAAGGCTGGACGTGGAGGCGCTGCTAATGGAAGAGAAGAGGAGGGCGGAGGCCCTGAAGGAGGAGCAAGAGGTTCTTCTCAAGAAGGTGAGACTTCACTTTGAACAATGTAAAGACTTGCAAAGTTTAAACATCTGGTGCACCACAGAAGGGTGGGAAGTCACACTTGAGGTGATAACGAGCAGTGTGAACGTGTTCAGAAATGATCTGATGCTTAATGTTGACACTGTCTACACTGTGTGTGTAATTTTTGGCTCTGCAGCAGAAAACAGCAAGGCTCAGTGTGAAGGCAGCGGAGCAGGACCTGGAGGAAATCAACAGAGAGAAGCAGGAGAAGATGAATGAGCTGGAGGTGGTTGTTCCTCTGAGGCTCCATCAGGTGAACACACAACAGACATTAGTAATGACCTATCCCGCTCTACAGCGCAGTTTAGTCACACCTTTATTCATTACTGGAAGCACCACAAGATTCAAATTCCATCTGCGTTTGTTAGGGTTACAGCTTCAGGTCAGACACTCGGCTCTAAAGAAACCTGAACTCTCCCTGTTGGTTTACCAGATTGAATTCATTGCCAACGGCTCCATCCCGGCCGATTTAAGTGAGGCACTGGTGGTGGACAGCAGCGAGCTGAGAAGACTGCAGCAGCGCATCGAACAGCTGCACGTGGAGAGGGGTCAGCAGAAAGAAGCAAAGGTCCAGGTCCGACGAGACCACAGCAGACTGATCCATGAGTGCAAGGAGCTAAAGACTACAATCACAGGTAAAGGTTGGCTTCTGGTATTTACTGAAAGGATGAAAGGTGTGACGACTTGGACTGGTGTGTTTTGGATCACAGAGCTGGAGGAGCAGTGCGACACTCTGATGATGAAGAAATTTGGGAGACTGGTGGATCTGGAGGCTCTGCAGACACTGAGAGGAAACCGGGAGCTGGAGGAGCTGAAGCAGCAAAAAGTTCTTCAAGAAGCTCGATGGGGCAAAGAAGGCAGAGAGTGGGAGGTTTGTCCATGCAGCCCTGGCCCCGTCCCAACTCACTTCTCAGTTGAAGTCATTTTGGTTTTTGAAACAGTGTGTCCAGCTGTGTCCAGCATTGATGAAAGTGGCAGAGAAGAAAACTTATGGACTGCAAAGCCTCAGTTAATGTTATTTATGGAATAACAGACCAGAGCTCAGTGCACAAAGACACTTTAGGACAGGGGTCTCCAACCTCTGGTCCCTAGACTGGTACAGGTCTGGTTCCAGGCCACAGCGTAAAAACTTATCATTTAATTAAACTTAAGACAATCTGGTCATTTTCCGGTAGCACAGTGCGGAGTCTAGCAGAGGTCACTTCTGGTTGTGGTATCATTTCTAGTTCAGACGTTCAGCATAAAGAAACGGACACCTTACAATACTGGATTAGACAACATGTTATTCTTATTTTGTCATTTCTTTGTGTCTGTCTGCGTGTGTGATCATCAGGCCAAGGTCGAAGCAGCGCATGATGCTCTGATGGACGTGACCAGGTGCAACACGGAACTTCTCGCCAGAAAGAAGAAATTTGTTGAAGAAAACATGGAACTGAAGCGTAAACTGGAGACTCATCAGAGGAAAACTGTAAAGTTCTTCCACTCGTCATTCACCCACACACCTTGACTTGTGTTTGTGCTCCTCTATTTTCACTGATAAACTAAGGAGACATTGAAAAATCAGCTGTTAAGACTTGCTGCTATGACGCTTCTGTTGATAATAACCAGGAAGTAACTACAGAACGTGGGGTGAAACAAATAAACATTTTCAGGAATCCAGTGACTGTAAATCAACACATCAGTCTGGAGTAAAAAAAAAAAGCTATTGTTTATTTCCTCCAAAGGTCAAACTCAAGACTTTAAAATGTCTTCAGAGGGACATGGTACTGTATAGTAAACTGTTCCCGACACACCAGTCATGTGGTGTAGGTTACATGTTGCTAGACTACCACACACAATGTGGACATCTAGTCTAAAGATTCTGCCACAGACAGACATGCAGACTATTGCTTGCGGTGACTCCTGGTGAAGGGACTATCTGAAAGTGATTCTTCTAATGCTGTGTTCAATGTTGTTTTTTTCAGACTACCCAGGGGGCGCTCTTCCAAGATCACAGAAGACGAGTAGATCAAGAAGAGATCCGAAGACTCCAAATGTTGGTGAAGAAGCAGACGGACCAAGCCGAAGCTATTAGGAGAGAGATTTACTTCCTGTCCCGAAAAGGAGGCCACGTAGTTCCCCCTGCACAGGCCACGCTACCCCCCCTTACCCCAGTGACCACCTCCTCTTGCACTGGTCAGACACACATGGGGAATCAAGGTAAAGGAGCAGTGCGTCAATTGAAACTGGCTAATGTGCAAAGGTCACAGAAGTAAACACCGAAGCTTTCAGTAAAGGCGATATAAAGATAGTGAATAGATGATGTCTAGGAACATCACAAAACCACATTTTAATTAGGTTTATATTTTTAAAGAATGTATGAGTAATATATATGTTGCTCCCCTGACGACATATAGTACAGGAATACCAAAGTTATCGCTGGTGTATTAAGACTTCTCCTTGATTTTGATCCAAACATTAAAAATGTCCGATGGTGTGACTGTCCGGCGTATGTTTGACGTTAATGATCACGGCATATTTCCAAAACAATTATGAATATTTGATGGTTCTGCAATTAGTATAAAATAATTAGGTGTTTTTAATGTCTGCGCATTATGTAAAAACAAGTTCTGACTAAAAGCATTTTGTCCTTGAAATAGGTGTCGTGTGGAGTGACTGGGGAATCAAGGTAAAGGAGCAGTGCGGCAATTGAAACTGGCTAATGTGCAAAAGTCACAGAAGTAAACACTGAAGCTTTCAGTAAAGGCAATATAGAGATAATGAATAGATGATGTCTAGGAACATACGGGTGGTTCACAAAACCACGTTTTAATTAGGTTTATATTTTTAAAGAATATATGAGTAATATATATGTTGCTCCCCTGATGACATATATTACAGTAATACCAAAGTTATCGCTGGTGTATTAAGACTTATTAAAAATGTCCGATGGTGTGACTGTCCGGCGTATGTTTGACGTTAATGATCACGGCATATTTCCAAAACAATTATGAATATTTGATGGTTCTGCAATTAGTATAAAATAATTAGGTGTTTTTAATGTCTGCGCATTATGTGAAAACAAGTTCTGACCAAAAGCAGTTTGTCCTTGAAATAGGTGTTGTGTGAACCTATAATGTATATATTTGAACGGGCAATAATATAGACATCTTACTGATGAAGAGGCCTACACTCAATCAGGAAGTTACAGTAACATCTGCTGATGTTTTTTCAACATCATTTTTTGGTTTTTGTTTAATTGTTCTGTATTCGGCCTCATCTGTAGTGGTCGGGGTTTTTGTATATTTTTTTGACATTTTTTTCTCACACATTTTACTTATTTATTATTAAAAATCACTGGTAATTACTTTATTTTGCTAATAAATTAGTTTAGTACGTAAGAAAAATGTCATATGGTGTGACACTGTCATGTAGTGTAAGGGGTTTTTTTTTAAGTCACACCAAATTTTGATGGATGAAAAGCATCTATATGAGTACTACTTCACTTTCCAATTTAATATTCCATGTAACCATATTTTACCCTCTACCATGCTGTGCATATTAAAAGCTCCTATTCTGACATTTCTTTTGAGTTTGTAGAAGATATGTCCAACACTGAGAGGACATGCACACAGCGTAAGACTGAATACAGACTCTGTAAAGAGAGAGGAAGTCCTAAGAGCAAGGATGAAAACGTAAATAGATCAAGCAAGTTCACATAGGACAGCCACAGGAGGTGAGGGGTTGAAAACTAAGTTCAACTTCAACTTTAACTATGGTTAATTAATAATTATTGTTAATTAAAACTGAATTAAGAACAGATTCAAGAAAGATTGAGAGAGAATTGGATAAATGAAGATGTCACTGCAGTGCCAGCAAACAGCTCCACACCTCCAGCATCTTCTGTCCCTTCAGATGTGTCCACCAGTCGTCCTGTAAACAGCCTGAGAATGTACAGTTGTCCATCTGTAGCAAGTGGATAGTTCAGAATGACATCTGAATTATCTCAGAAAGGGTAGAATTTCAACTGAACACAAATTAAACGAACATAAATAGCAATAGTCCCACAAAAAAAGAGCTATGTTCGTTGAGTAATAATTTAGAAATATAATGAAAAATATACGAAAACATGCTAGCAGGCAAAATATAAAATTCATACTTAACGCACCTTCGATAGCTCAGTTGGTAGAGCGGAGGACTGTAGGTTGTGCAACAGTGATCCTTAGGTCGCTGGTTCAAATCCGGCTCGGAGGAAAGCTTCTTTTGGGTCGGGCCAGTGGTGGCTTAGTGGTTAAAAAAGCGGATCTGGAGGCTTTGAGGTTCGAGTACACTAGCTGCCAAGTTACCACTGAGGTGCTCTGGGCTTGGCACCGTCCCCGCTCGCTGCCCCCTGCTCACTTTGGTGATGCGTAGTTCACTTGTCATTGTGATATTGGTGATGCGTAGTTCACTTGTCATTGTTATATATTATCACAGAAGACGATGTCACCCTCTGCTGGTAAAACAGTAGCACGGCAAGCGGAGTGTATAATTGACTAAATGAAATGGTTAAATAACAAACTCCCATTTGGAGTCCTGGTACAGAAATATACGTTTTATTTTATAATGACACGATATTAACACACAGCAGCCCCTTTACATCCCATAACCTTCACATACATTTTTACACTTTCTGCAGACTATCCCAACAAGCGTTCATTAAGGCGGTTGTAGATCTTCTAGTGCCCATGGTTGGTTTGGAGATAGTATTGCTCCATTTCTTTAAGTGTGTATGTATTTAATGTAAGAAATAAATATTCTCTATTGTTTGAAAATTGATTCAGATTAGAATGAATACCTTAACTGTCATCCTACAGAAAATTCTTAAAGAGCTATCAGAGCCTTCCCCTGTTCACAGAGCACTCAGCTCCAGCAGCAGCGTCTCCTTCTCCCGCTGCAGCTCCACGATGCTCTGCTGGTTCTGCTGCAACCGGTCCTCCAGCCACTGCAACAGCGGCCCACTCACCGCTGACATCTGGCTGCACAGGTTCTTGGTGAACACGGAACCATTGTGGATCTTGGTAACGGGGTCCAGGTGAGCTAGGCTGTGGATCTTACGGTACGTGTCCTGCTCCTCCTGGCACAGGATTCGCGGTAGCTCCACGGCAGACTCCAGGCAGACTTTACCGATGGCCTCTCGCGGAACGACGTGGATCGGTATCTCTACACGGTCATATTCGGAGCCTTTCTGCGCCTGCACGGACTGGAAGCAGGTGTAGAGGACGCGGCCGGTCCTGGTGTTCTTGTCCTCGATAAAGCAGGAGAAGATGAGGCCCACGAAACACTGGTCCAGCATCTGGTACATAGCCTGGGTTCGCACGTCGACGTGCGAGGGCCACACGGTGATGTGAGGGTGAGAGTGATACCATCCAACCACCCGCATCGGCCTGCCGGTTATGTCGGCCAGCCTCTCCGCCTCGGTTGAGGCCGCGGACAGCTGCTCCGGGGAGATCTCCACCCGGTCCTTCCTCTTGTCTGAGCGGCGGAGGATGATGACTGAGTGGATGTGGACCAGGCGGGTGTTCTCTACCTCCCCGATACACAGACCCATCACCTCCTCCTTCTCTGTGCTCAGAGCGTGGTTCATACACACCAGGAAGGCGTCAGACTCCAGGTGAACCGCACTCACCGCCATTGTTTCCGTCAGAGTGAAGAAAAACAACACAACAAAACAGCTGAGATCTACTTCCGCCTTTGGCAGTGCAGCAGCAAAAAGAGTCCGTGTTTACGCTTAAATCACCAAGTAAGATTTCTCGTATTATTATTATTATTGAAAATAAAAATTATTCTTATTTTATTGTTTCTCTTATGCGGGTTTAATTAAGAAAGATGGACTGTATTTATATTTAACAAACAAAAATAATGTGCCAAATACTGCGTATAACTTTATATACAGTATGTGCTGTATTTATTTATTTATACAAATGTTATGTGTATCTTGTCTAGTCTATGTTCTGCTATTTTCTTGTCTATGTTCTTCTTTTGTTTACTACAATTGATCAGTTGTAACTTAGAGAACCTATAACACGACCCAATCAGGACGATGTCACTGACATCGTCACTGGGTCACAATTTAATTAGAGAACGTTTTATTATTATTATTATTATTATTATTATTATTATTATTATTATTAATAAACTTTAGGTATACAAATCTGACGCGTCATGCAAATAAGACAGAACAACGGCATGGGACAAAATTGTTAACCGAGTCAAAGCGAAAGATTTGGGGGACTATTCGATTGACTTATTATTTAATAATTTAAAAAGCGGTACCTCGAACAGATATTCCTATTCCTATGCCTAACAGTTGTCTTCATATCGGAGGAGACGGGTAGAAACTCAGGGTTTCTCCAAGTCAGCGGGTGTGGGAGCTCCAGGCACTAGATGGCAGCAGAGCAGGCTTTATTAATCTATTTTAATAATCAGGGGATTGTAGAATGTAGAATGTAAAATGCTGATGGCAGCAATTCATACAGTGGTTTGTACAGATAGAGGTTTGTCCAGATAGAGGGAGGGCCTGGCAGATAATAATTGAGAAACACTACTTCAAGTAAACCTGACAAAAAGAGTCTGTTACCATGGTGACTGACTCGGAGTTTCAGCTACGTCTCTTTCTGGACCGTATAACTCAGAGTTTCTCTCGTCTCACAGTTACCTTATCCTGAGTTTTCACATAACCTGAGTTTCTCTCGTCTCACAGTTACCTTACCCTGAGTTTTCACATAACCCGCTTTCTGGAATAACCCCCTGGTCGTCATCTTACTCCACTATGGTGTTGCTGTGGCAACAGGTCGTAAGTCGTGGCTGTAAGTGAATGCAGAGACCCTCCCTGGACTTTTCATTGACTTCTATTGTTTTTTTCCCCCAAGCTCAATCCTAAAGTTAAAGTCTTAGAAATTAGATGTATAACATTTGCAAAAAAAAGTGTGTGTGTGTTTATGCGTGTGTGTCTCAACCTGAAAGAGCATTTGCTTTGGCAGCTAATACTGTATGTTTGCAGAGGCGTGTGGTTTCCATGACGACTAAGACGTGGCCAAATAGGATGGACTGGCTGAAGGATCAACTGCGGCCTGGTCAGTGTGTTTGGTTTCATATGTAAACAAAAATTGAGCTCATGTGACAGGAAATGGTTTATCAAATATGATTTTGCTGTGGCCCCATAGGTTCACCTTTGTTAAATGTTCTGTACTAATGCAACTCTTCTAATCCTAGTGACAACCTAACACTACATTACAACTGCACCACCTACTCAGCTAAGGCCGCGCCCCGCATGTTGACATGCATTCTTTAATTTTTACTATCTCTACTAGAATCTCTTGCAGTTCATTTTTGAACACGTTTGAACTTTAGGGTTACAGTGGATTCAGACAGTAACGGGACGGCTTTAGGACCCAGTGGCTTCTTTCTTTCTTCACTACATGATTACGTCCCCTGAAATGCTGCTTTCAAGTTCTACTGGGACTTTTGTGTTTACATGGCTAAGTTTTGTGATTAAAAAAAAAAGAATGTTTTATTCTACTGTCAGAAGCAGTGGTGAATAAAGTTTGAAGCTTTAAGATAAAAATGATTTTCCTGCGAAAGATGGGGGACTTAAAAATACTAAATAAAGAAAACATTCAATTTAAAAGGATTAATAAAGAATATCTATATAAAATTAAAGAATCTTCAAACATATATTTTTGGAATAAATAGTTGATGGTTTATAAGTATACCACAATATCCTTGTATTACAATACTATCTGGTTTCATTTATATAGCTAATTTAATATTGAATATTCTTGTTATTTTTGTTATTGATTGTAGAACAAATATTTCATCCCCTGTAGGGGGTGCTATAAAAGCTCATTTAATATCTTGTCAAAACATCATTTTTGAAGAAGAAGAAGAATTTATTTGTTTTTGTAAATAAATATATTCAGTCCATACACTGAATAGAAAATACATAACATTAAGCTTTTGACATTACTGATTTTCCTAAAAACATGTAAAATATACACCAGGACCGGCTTTAGGTGGTATTACACTTTTAGCTTGTCAACATATTCATTCAAATAAGTCAGATTACTTGAAAAAAACTACTATGACCCATTTAAAAAGAGTGGGCGGATTTCGAAACTTGCTCCCCCCCCAAAAAAATTTAATCATTTTTTATTTTATTTAATTTAAATATTTTATTGGAGGGGGGGGGGGGTCTAATTAAAGAATATCAATTTTGCGGGTGATTCCTGCACACTGAATGTTTTACCATGGTCCACAGTGGGTTAGAGGGTAGCTGCCGCTCACCGGAAATGAAATTTCACAAGAAATTCTAGTTTACGAGCAGTCCACAAAGGCAGCATCAGAAACCGTCAGATTCACTTCACACGTCGACATCCATCACACACACTGTGGAGAGGCAGTGAAGTCACAGAGGCAGTGAAACCCAGGCTCCAGGTTTCGAGTCCACGTTCCAGGCGTGCCGCTCCTCCGTTGCGCTCTGCTGCAGGCTTTCCTCTCTCCAATAGCGGCGTGGGAGAGATGCGACATCTCGGCGGTGAAGAAGCAGGAGACGATCATCAGCAAACACCTGAGAGCAGCGACTGAGTTTGTTTCTCTGCCGTCAGAGTAGAAGGGTGAGTGACACCTTCCTGGAGATTCCGTCCATCTGTCTCGGCGTCGAAGGCTTTGGTTTCTGTATTTGTTTAGTTGCTTCAGTTGTTGCTGCGGTTTCTTCTTGACTTCTCTTCATCAGCAGGATGAGTCATAGCTGAGATCTGCTGAGGAGCTCAGTGTCTGCAGCCTCCATGGTCTGGTGTTGGTGCGTGTGCGTGTGTGTGTGTGCGCGCGCGTGCAAATGATGGACCTAACATGGAAACATTTATCTCGGCTTCCAGTTATTACAGAAAAGTAGTTCTTCATAATGCGGAATATGTTCTGGATCATTTTAGCAAAAAAATCTTCAGCAAAAGTGTTGCGTATTTTCAGGCTAACTTTTAGTTACAAGAGTCTAAGGCTACCATTACCTCTAACTTATCTGATCTATAATCCCAAACATTCCAGATTGTGTGTAAACTCAATTTCACAGTGTTGTCTACACAGTAAAAGAGACCATAGATGGAAACCTAGCCACATGTAACCCACACCGCATCACTCGTGTCTAAAATTTACTATCACACAACCCGAGACATTTGACATTTTTGACCACCCGTGACTCACAACCCCTGAAAGTAAAACACATCCGCCTTCACTGTGGAATCCCGTTGTTTTTACGGAAAAGAAACTGACAGCTGTGGTTGCAAAATAAATCTGTTAAAAAATATGGTAAACAAACATCATACGCAGGGCAGAAACAAAGAAGGGTATATTGTCAGGTACAATGGTTCGAGCCACACTCGGCATGAACCGTCGTGAAGAAAAGCAGGGTCGTCCTAAAAAGAAAACCAACTAATTAAAGTAAAATTACAATTAAAAAAAATATTTAATTCCTATTCCTGAAACGGTTTTGTAGATTTGCTTTTTTGACCTTAGACAAAAAGAACTAACTACACACAACGATGGTGGCGGTCAAATACACTTGTTCCCTCTGTACGTCGACTGCCAGGCACGTGTCCTCCACATAACAGAACGTTGCATTTTCCTTCTCATCAAAGCAGGAGAGCAGAAGCAGCATCATCGTCTCTTTGAGCTCTTTAGAGCAGCCATGCAGCTCTCACCTTGTCATTTGTCTTTGTTAGAGCCTGCAGGAACTTTTTACTCTTTGTCACACAAATCATATTTATGTAGTCCAGGAGCCGTTTCCCCTTAAGATCCACATTCGGTGTGGCCCACAATCCTGACCAATCCCCCGCCTTAACCATGGACTTGGATGTTGTCCCCTTTCCAGTGACTGCATCAATTCTTTTAAGAACTTACGCCATGGTATGCTAAAGTGATGTTCCCAGTCTATGTCAGGGATTTGGCAGGTGTTGGAAGAGGTTGAAGGTGAACTTGTGGGTGAAAACGATTTTTTAAAATGTTTTTTGTATTACAATTTTTCTCTGTTTAAACTGCAATAATCTGTAAATTCTACAAAGAACTTGGACTCTTTTAACATGTTCTGTAACCATAACAGTTGTGTTTGGTTTTGTAATTTTACAAAAAAAATACAGTAAATGAAACATAGCTCCGTAGTATTTACATTTTTTTGACGTGGTGATTTATAGCTCCGTAGTATTTACATTTTTTTTGACGTGGTGATTTTACAGCACTTTGCTGTTAATTTCACAAACTGTGTACAAATACATTTCATGGCTAGAAAACCCAAGCAGAATGTATTTTATAGTTGTTGTTTAAAAAAAACAAACAAAAAACGTATCAATAAAAACAAAAGAAAAAAGATTCATGTAAAACTTAAAAATAGAAATTATATCAAATGTAGCTAGAGGGCTCCATCGCTGACATCTGCCTTAATTACGATTTTGCTTGGGGTTTTTATGTATCAACAGCAAACAACAAACACTGTTTAAACAGATGCTCTGGTAAAAAAACCAAATCAGATTTATTGGCTCATTGGTTTCAGTTTGTACGATGGGGAAAAGACGCAAAATGTTTTTGTTGTTGTTGTTGTTGTTGTTGTTGTGATAATCCCCACCATTTGTGTCAGTGAAGGACCCTTGGCAGTTAAAGGTAGAAGACAGCAACACAGTGTGGTTTCACAGTTAGTGTGGCACGTTCAGTTGTGATACATGCATGAGAGATTGTCATGGGTTCTTTCTTCTCCTCTATTCTTTTTCTTTGCGTAGTGTTTGTCGTCTCATAAATCACTTTGTCAGCAAACACACAGCAGGCCAAGGATAATTAGTGGAAATTCTCTTTATTAGTTTGCTGATGCACTGGTGTCGGTTACTTTATTGTTTCACGTCTTCATCATCAATCCACGATGATGAAACTAATGGAAAAAATGGATTGTGTTGGTGACCTCAGAGCTCAGCCTTGGTTATTACTATTTAATGTGCATTGGTTGATGTTGTTCCACTAGTGTAAAAATGAAGAGATATTAAGTGTAACTTTGTTTGAAGACCCCTGGATCAGTGTTCCCTCTAATTTTTTTTATTTGTCTCGGTATACACACAAGCTCTCTGAGCACACTGAGGACCACTATGACCAACATCAGAAGTACACGCTGTGCCCACACACCGGTATCACACTTGTTTAAAACCTGGATCTTATCAAGTTACATGGATTATTAAAATAATTAAATTAAAACAGAAATGTCCATTAGGTTACTTTTAATGTAAGTAATTCAGCCCACTTAGAATGAAAAAGACCAAAATCTTGTTGTTCATCAGACGTGTAGTATGTTATATGTGAGTGTCCTGCATTTGGCTAAGGTGAAGTCCAGTTGTGGTTTGGGTGAGGGTCTTGCTCTGGAGGAAATGAGACATATGCACCTAACATAACACTTTGTAAACATTAAAACACATTCACAATTTGCACAATGACGTGTGTTGTAGCTTGTGATACAGTGTAAATTTCTGTAAAACTGTGTGTGCAAAATATAATTACACAGTTTTTTATTAGCATTCATACTACCCATAAATTATCTCGTAGTAACAGCATTTAATTATAAATATCCATAAATGAAAAACCTTGAGAAATGTCACTAAAAAAAATGCACAAATCTAACTTAAATTTGACCTTATTTTTTCACGTCTGTTGATGGCAAAGTCGTTTGCTACTTTCTTTCTTTCTTACTCTAAAAAGAAAACAATCTAAAAAACCCAGTTTTACCACTTGTTCTTTGACTTGGTGCGTGGACGTGTCGCTTCCCGTTCGTTAGCATTTAGCATTTATGTCTTTTGATTCAGCCGCACTGTTGTTAACTAGCTAACCTGTACGGTGCTAGGTACATGGCGCTCATGGACAGGGCACATATGAAAGCACTGTCAATGGTATGATTGGCTGTGTAGCGTAAGTGAACCATCTCATATCATTGGCTGGACACCTGTAATGATGTATCTCACTGAGTGACATTATTTTTCGCATCAATGGTTAATAAAATGAATACCTACAACACAGTTTATGTTGAATTTTATTTTATGCGCTGCACAGATTTTCTTGTGCGCTGAGAATGTTTGAGGAGTGCGCAATTGCGCACGTGCGCAGCTTAGAAGGACAATTGCCTTGGACTAAAAGTTAGCGTTAATTGCTAATAATATGCTAACTTAAAAGTTATTAACATTCCGACTGGGACAGTAAATTACACAGGAAAGACAAGAGATCAGAGGTGTCTTCTCACTGACTTTAGAGCTGAGCTCAGTCATTAGCATCTGATGTGCGTCTTTTGGCGTGTGGTAGAATTATAGATGAGAAGCTGAACGGTAGTCAAAATATAACTGAATGTTTGCTTCTTGGTTGACCTACCTGAAACAACAGACGTAAAGGAGGTCGAAGGGGACGAGAAATTGAAGAAAAAAGGAATGTATTGCTTGCTGTATTTTTTTTCTATACTGTGCATCTGTATATTTATACTTGAAGCCTCTACTTACCCATTCATCTTACCAATACAGTGTTTACTGCTTATCTGTACATCTTATAAAATAGCAAACAATTAGTAGTACTTTAAGGTACGATAAAACTTTAGCAGAACGTCGTTAAACTTCATCAAAATGTGGCTAAAAAAATCTTGAAAAGGAACTACATACAGAACTATGCCAAAGTGTTCAAAAAAAGTAGTTGAGGTTTATCAGAAAAGTAAAGTGTGAAAAAAAAAAAGACTAGAAATACTTAGAGGTGTGCTAAAAATACACATTTGTTAACAGGAAAGTTTCGGAGACTGGCCCCTGAGTGTGAGAATCAATTGCTAAAAACAGACTGTAAATTAGACAGAACACACATTCTGAGTATTTTATATGTTCTATATATTATATCTAGAGTATTCTTTTCTCCTAGCACCAGCATTTGATCATGATTCTGTCGTCGTTCTTCACCCTCTTTACTTTGCGTTTCCAGTGCAGAATTAGAGTAGAACTATTTTGAGGCCCGGATTCACCCTGATGAGTGTGGAGCATCAATCACACAGAAGTGGGCGGTTCATTATTAAAAAGCCTTCTGAGATCCTGAGCTGACTGTGAGGGGATACCCCCTAGACAGGGAGGCTACAAACCATTTTATCATGGTTCGAATGGGAAGAGAAACAGACTAGGGTTCATCCTAAAGGAAGAGTATGTAAAAAATGTGGTAGAGGTGAAACGAGAGTCAGACAGGTTGGTGTGTGAAGGTAGAAATAGAAGGAGTGATGATTAATGTTGTTAGTGGTTATTGCCCCACAGGTGGGCTGTGAGTTGGAAGAAAAGGAGAAGTTCTGGAAGGAGCTAGATTATATGATAGAGTATCCCCAGGGGAGAGAGAGTGGTGATTGGAGCAGACTTTAATGGTCATGTAGGGGAAGGGAACATTTTTATCTGTGGAGTTGGTTTTAGAAAAAACAGAAAAAACAAAATGTCACCTCCTGAACTTTTTAATCGGAGAAGCAAAAATCTGGATGTACCTGACACGCAGGGACAGGTTACAGGGTGGGGCCGATCCTTGATGGTGTGGTCCTGTGGAGGCAAAGAGGCAACTGAGGCTTCCTCTTCTCCTGCTCCTATTCCTT